ATTATTACAAAACCCATTTTGTGCACATATATGTATGTTTATTACAATAATAACATTTAATAAAAATTAGTTGAATAATAACGTATAAAATTTACTTATTAAATCATTTTCTGTATGTAGCGATGTTTTTATATTTTTTCTTGCCGGAACGCGTTCCGGCTCAAAAATGATTTGCCGGAACGACGTTCCGGCGCGTTCCGGCTCGACAACACCACTGATTAAACGGAAAGGAGTTTTTCAATTTATACATAACCATATTGGTTAAATGTTGCATTACCACTAAAACTAATCATAATTTACTGAAGTAAAATCATTTTATATGTTTCAATCATAAATCACCGAGTAAGAGAATGTTCTGGGTTTTCATTTTATTCTAGTCATAGACCTTATAATATTTATTATAATATTATAATACATTTATTATAATGTCCATGATTCCAGTCTATTTTATTCAAATGCGTCATGAAATAGTTTCAGAAATATTTTTGGAAGTGAAATTTTTATCTATCACCAAAATTTCTTATAAATGCTCGTAAGAGGAATAATACAATGATATGAAACTTGAACAATATGACGTCGACAAAGAGATATAATCTAACTATCAACAAAAAATGAATGCAAATCTTACATAAAATCATTCTGTATGTGCACCTTTAAATATGTTTTTTTTTCAAAATTATTTGCCATCGTCATTCTGTTCTATAAATAATTTGTATTGTTATTTTTCTGTGAGTAATAAGAAACATAATGAACTATAAATTCGGAACAAGTTATCCTTTTATGAGCAAAGTATCTACTTATAGTGCCACTAGTCCACTATATCAATTTTACAAAGTATGATATTTTGCTTCATAAAATAAAGTTTTATTTCAATATTTAAGTCTTACGCGGTTTTAATAGACAATAAAATTAAACCGACGTTTATTATTCCGATGCTTTTGAAAATAATGAATTGAAATTAATAGATCAGTTTATAATTTTTTATTGACTATTGGCAAAACACAATGTCCATGTAAATGATCAAAATAAAAATCAGCGAAATGGAACAAAATCGTTATTCAAAGTGATAATAGAGAAACTTTCAATAAAATAGAAAAACGTTTACGAAAATATACATTGAAATGCAAATCCAGATCATATCTCTAATTGTTTGTGGCGCCGTAAAAGCTCTCATGTACTAAATTGTAGTTCGGCGTTGATGTCTATCGACATTATTTATTGATGCTATACATATATATATATATATATATATATATATATATATATATATATATACAAAACTAAAAGAACATTTGCAAAAACCTACCTACTTTCTAGAACGTGCGAATAAGAAAAACAGATAAAAAACTATTGTATTCTATAAACTACATTCCATCTCTTCAATTTAATTTAAATTGTGATAACAGAATATTAGATTTCAGAATATATACAAAAAAGAAACGAATTGAAAGAAAGTAAAAATAAAGCCTACGACTTGAATGATTTTTCCACCCTAATAGGAAAATCGAATAATAGCCCAAATTCATTAATTTATCACACTTTCACATCTGTGTAAAATCTCTTCCATTTTTGTGCGAAGGGATACTAAGATTTATGTTTGTTTCGAAATTGAGGGAGAAATTAACAAAAAGGGCAGTAGTAATCTCGTGGTCCTTTATGGGCAAAGATATACCATCCAATTCTGTTCCATTCATAACACTGCCCTACTAACAGAATGATATATGTAAATTATTCCCTGGCATAATACAGCGGAATTAATGATAAATTTCAATGCTATGGATAACTAGCTGTAAGTGGAATTCTGTCTTAAGGCAATTAAGGCATCGTGCCTTAAGGCAAATTGCTGGAACTTCCCGTACCAAAAATTATTATTTTTTTAAAAACGATTGACATTTTTAAAAAAAAATTTACTTCGAAAAAATACGATTTTTAAGAAACTATAAATTGGACAAAAAATTACTTTTTTTTGAAAAAAAATTTTTTTTAAAAAAATTTTTTTTTTAATTTTTTTTTTGTTTTTTTTTTTGAAATTTTTTTTTTTTTATTTTGACATATTGTGGAAGATCTGAACTTTCTTTTCAAAGCAATCGTACTGCTTTAACTGCATAGGGGCAAAATAAAGCGCGTGAGCGCCGCGTCGCTGTCTAACGCATAAGCATTGGTACGGAACCCATAGGAATGTTAACAAATTGTATACTTATTGTTAAAATCTCTATAAAATATCTGATAATTTGATGAGCATATGTCTAATGATCATTTTTGACCGCCAAATGGCTCATTTTTTTACTTTTTCCTCCATATCTCCGAAACCGCTAGAGCTACCTTCATGAAAATTTTATCGATTCTTAACCTTGTCAATACAAGTGAAATGTTTTTTGAATTATTCAAATCGGACGCTCCGTTCTCTCAAAAACTGAGTTACCGTTTTCGGCACTTTTTGCCCCGTATATTCGGAACGGCTAGACCTGCCTTCGCCAAAAACTAATCAGCACGTCTCCTTATCAATACGAATCGAATGTTTTTTGAATTATTCAAATCGGTTGACCCGTGTTGCCGAAATCGTCGACGAAAATTTGTATCCGCACATACATACACACACATACATACATACACACACACACACACACACATACACACACACACACACCCACACACACATACATCCATTTTTTCTAAGGTATGCCAAATTTTCAGAAACCTCTGAAACATAAAGATATATAAAAATTTTCATTTTCGATTTTTTTGCGATCACTATAACTTACCCTACGGGAAGTTAAAAATATGTTAAAATAGTATGAAACTTTGTATCAGTATTTTATGCAATAGATAGTACTAATATTCAAAGTAACGCTTAACATAATTTAAAAATCTATGCAGAATTAAATAAAATTTAAATTAAATTCGAACTAACTTTCGTGAAGTTTTCTCCAATGCGTGTGTGCACGTGCATATCCGAAACAATATGAATTTTAAAATAATTTCGACTTTGAATTCAAGTTAACTTTTTCATTATTTGAATTTCCGATTTTGTAAATATCATACTAAATTTTAATATCATTCCACATTTAATGTTCAAAACTTTTACGAAATTATGAAAAAATCGAAAATTCAATCACTCGGAAATAATTGTCATAATCGATAATTAATTTCTTTGTAAAGGTTATAGATGTTACTTTTTAAAGTTGTTTGAAACAAAAAATAAAAAAAGTATTACAAAAACGTTGTGATAAAGGTAATTGAAATGTTCGAAATTAATTTCAAGTAAAAATCAGTTCTAAAGTTGATTCACTTATAAGAATTAAAATTTTAAATAATTTTTCTGAATTAATACATGTTCGACCTAATATCAATTCTGCTAAAACATTGATAGCAAACTATTATTAACTATATTCCTATATTAGTTACAAAATATATTTTTCTACTGTTCTAAAGTTTGTCATCTGCCTTTTCTACCACATAGACTTTAAAAACGTAAAAAGGACAATACATCCTATGAAACAAATAAATAACATATACTTAAAAATTATATTCAGGTATCATGAACGTATCGAGTGGGGAAGAAAAAACTCTACTAAGCACTATTCTTCAAAGAAAAGAAAACTGAGTCGGATTCGTTCTGCCAAAAAGTGCCTCATACATGAGGTAGTGTAAGCTAAAATAGAAGGGCATGGAGGAAGAAGAATGCAGACGGTTGACGATTTACGTGAAAATAAATAAATAAATAAATAAATCAATAAATAAATAAATAAATAAATCAATAAATACGTAGAAGAGGAAATACAGGGAATTGAAAGCCAATGAAGTAGATATTTGGAAAGAAAAATACATAAAAAATGTATAAAAGGGGTGGGGGATAGGGGTAATAAAACTGATGGACAAGGAAGGGAAAGGCGAGGAAGGAAAAGCGACGAGGAAAGAGGAACAAATTACAAAAAACGATATGCAATTGTTTGACGTTGAAAATATTTAAGACATCGCATTGAAAACTGTCATCTGCCAAAATTTTTATTTACTTATGAGCCTACTAGACAATATTAGAATTACATTGATTTGTGGTGGTTCTCACACCATAGATCTGCGGTATAGCCCTTCGGGCGGACTACCATTCATTATTTATTACCATTATTATCAAAAAACAATAAAAAAGCTCAAACTAATAAAGTTAACGATAAAAAAACGTTTATTATGAATATTGATATATGATCAATCTACTAAAGATTGATATCAATTAATTGCGACATCGTAAGAATTAGGAAGATTCATGGTTGGTATACATCTTTTGTCTTCTACTTTAAGAAAGTATAATTAAAAAAATTATTAAATTTATTAATTAATTGATTTAAATTAATTATAATTGAACATTTTTACCCTCCGACCATTAGGCCCATTTTCAGGCAGCGTTAATTTTGATGCTTTAGATTTGATTATTAGTCTCTGTCAATACAAGAGTCAACATCAAATTCAGAAGAAAAGTGAAGAAGAAGCTGCCCAAAGATAATATGGAGGAACGTTAAAACTACAACAACCTTATATGAACAGAATAGTAGAATCACTTATTGAAGTGATTCTCTAACAATATAATTTTTTTCAGGTTAATTTATATGTGTGTTTGAAAGTGTGTGTGTATGTGTGCAAGTGAATGGCATGAACCAAATAGGTCATAGAATTGTCATGTATTCTAATTGCTATTGAAAATAAAATTTAAAAAAATCTGAGTTATTGAAATAAACATATTAAAAAAATACAGAAGAAATAAATTTCTGACAAAAGAGAATGAATAGTCCACGAATTTGAAAAATTTTCATCAGGTAATTTAAAGCAACAATTCCTTCAGGACGCAATAGACGAAAATGTTATCACCAAACTCATTGCTGATTGATACAATTGGAATAACTTATATGCTACAATTTTATCGTCAATATAATCTCAAAAGCAATTTGATCCTATCTTACATAAGTATATTTGTTTAGCTAACATTAAATACATCTTGTATAACTTACCAATAACAGTGATCAATATCATAAGACCTAATACGACAGAAGTGACTGTCATCACAATAACTTCGGCAAGCGGCTGGCTGCCATCATTTGGTGTTTCTGCGATAAAACTGCCATTTTGTATCGATAAATTTTGTGCTAATAGTGTATTGTTCGATATTAAGCCATTATCTATGTCGTAATAAGTCGTATTCGGCAGCGAGCCGATTCCCAGGGCCCGCAATAAGGATTCGGGACCTCCGCCTCCGCCATCGATGAAGAAGTAGTCGTAACCATCTGCATAATAATGAATAAAATTAGAATTTGAAATCATGATATGGAGAAGTTGCAAAATGCAAATATTCAAAGGAAGGTTAAAGGAATGAATCGCTGTTTCTTCGTATTTTGCATTTATTGAATTCAGGGAAAAGTTACTTCAATTAAGTTTTGTTGTTCATGAATAGAATATTTAGTTTGTAAGTGGAGTATTTTCTTATATAATTATATTTTCCTTCAATTATTCATCGAAGGAATGAATACATCAAATTAACTGAGATTTTGCAGAACTTAATAGCTATATTTATAATATATCTAACAAAAGCATTATAAGCAATTATAGTTCAGCTTGCACTTTTGCATGGTGATGGAGATATAAAATTATTAATGTTTCGATTTGGGGCAAGAAATTGACCACCTAGCTCCAAGGTTTAATACTTATTGTTCTATTAAACATATTGAAAAAAAATATACATAAATTAAATCTGTTTAAATAAATTTCAATTCTGTTACCTTGATCACTCTCAAACTTTAACGACAAAATATATTATTCCTAGGTCTGGTTTTGCCAAAAACTCAAATAAATCAAATGTTTAATATTGTTTGTTTTACGCTGGAGGAATTTGGTTCGAATCACTAGCAATACCAGAATTAAAAATATAAAGTAATAATCTAGATTAAGAATTGTTAATTTGTGAATAGAATACAAAAAAAATTGTATTAGAAGTAAAAGGAAAAAAGAAGTTTAGTTTAGAAGAGAGAGAACATAAGAAAATTGAATGTAATATTAGGAGATATAGAAGAGATAGTATATATATGACAAATGTATAAGAAATACATAGTAAGAATTGTATACAATATGCTGAAAAATAATTTGAATAATGTAAGTGGCTAAAAATGCTGTAAAGCGGAGGCCAATGAAATTTAAAAAAATATATATATATATTGTTTGTTTTTGCATGTTTTGAACCATTCAAATTGGTTGATACGTGCTCCCGAAAACGTTTACAAAAATTGTATCTATCATCCATTTTTTTCTGAAGTATGCTAAAATGTTCAGAAACTCCGAAAGATAAAGATATATAAAAAATTTCATTTTAGATTTTTTACTAATTATAAATTTGAAAACCTAGATAAAATTGACATGTATAATTATTTTAATAATTTTGCTATAAAAAAAGAGAGCCTGCGTGATAGTAATATTTTTCATGTTCACATAGGAACAACACATTATAATTTACACTGTGTTATTTATAAGTCGGAACAATGTCAAAAAATGTAACGACATAATAAGACGTATGATATATTTTTTAGATAAATAAGAAGCTCACGTGGCAATATCTAAAAATATTCAAATATTTTACATAAAACAAGATAATACAAATGTATGGAGGATATTCAAAATATAATAACGCTTGACAAATAATTAAAATATGTGTAAATATCGATTTAATCAATAAAAATAATTTAATTTATGAGTGATTAAAAGTATTCCGAGTGGATTCATTACACATAATTGAAAGCGAACGAACACGTTAATTAGGAGTATTTTCTAAAAGCAAATTTTCAAAAGTCAACCATTTTTATATTTAAACCAGTTTCCGTATGACTTTAATGGTTTAATATGTACATTAAGACTGGATACTCCATTGTTATACCAAGTAAATCGTCTAATTTAATTTTAGCAAACGTCAAAAAAACTACTCATTTTCTTAAACTTTGATGAATTTTTTAAAATTAAACTACTTGCCGTAAGGCCGTAATATTTCAGTAAGTTCTATAAGACATGATATATATCGCCAAAAAAAGTTCCATAAAATAAGGACAATAACATCAAATTGACAGCCAGTTTGACCCACAGTAATCACATAACATTTTGACAGTTTTTAGTAACATTTTTATGAAAAACGCAGCGTAACATAGGCTTGCCATAACACTGGTATATTTTTAAGGCAGAATTGGCCGGCGAATTTG